ACAGAACGCTGTTACCTTCCCACCGAGGTGGTCCCTATTTATCTACTTGCATTTTTACATGCTTTCAAACTGCTAGGTTGGAAGGAGCTAGGACAAGCGACGGGCGCTCACTCTGTTGCGTGGATTCGATCTTATGGCTGCTGGTCTTCTGACCTTGCAGCACAGAGGCTTCTGTGGTTTAACACGCAGCACCACCATGTCGCACTTGATGACTACGTGGATAAAAACACCTCACTCCGCAACTCATATAAATCGATTTCCACCCTCACACCATGTGGATGATAACACCCCAATCAGTTTAAACGACACTTAAATGCAGCTCGTAGGGCCAGCCAGACTGGCAGGATGGCTGGCGATGGCCCGCAGGCCCCTGGTGAGAAGTCCACGGCCAGGTTTCAAAGGGTCAGCCAGGACTGGTCAGCAAATCATCATTTCGCGGTTTTGTTTTAGAATTGTTTATATAAGATAAATCTACAACTCTCTATTGTTTTTTATTTAGACCCTGCTTTTCTTCCAACCCAAGAACTTGCTCACATGATGCATATCCAAAGATTCCCAGACCTGCTTTACGTCAGTAAGAATACTGGATCTGGTGCCTTTTAGAGAGAGAAAGCCAAAGTCTGATGTGGAAAGTAGCCACAAGATAAATCTACAACTCTCTATTGTTTTTTATTTAGACCCTGCTTTTCTTCCAACCCAAGAACTTGCTCACATGATGCATATCCAAAGATTCCCAGACCTGCTTTACGTCAGTAAGAATACTGGATCTGGTGCCTTTTAGACTTACAGTGGTGCCTCGCTTAACGGGCGCCCTGTTTAACGATGAAATTGCATAGTGATGAAGATTTTGCGATCGCTTTTGTGATCGCTTTGCGATGTTCCCTATGGGGAAAAATCGCTTTGCGATGATCAGTACCCTGTTTCGCTTACCAATTATTGCAAAGCGATGATTTTCCACCAGCTGATCGGCGGTTCCAAAATGGCCGCCGGGTAAAAAAATATGGCCGCCCGCTGTGTTTAGGGGCGGATTCCTCGCTTACTGGGCAGCGAAAATGGCCGCCGTATGGAGGATCTTCGCTTAAAAGTCAGTTTTAAGCCCATAGGAACGCATTGAAGGGGTTTCAATGCATTCCTATGGGCTTTTTAAAATCACATAGCGACGAAATCGCTTTGCAGCGATTTTTTCTGCACCGATTAACGTTGCTATGCGAGGCACCATTGTATATGCTCAAGGATGATCTCAGTGTTTTATTAATTTTTGTCATGTAAAATGTTGCCAACACTGGATATTTCTCTTATCTGTTAAGGATTTCCTTGTTGACTCAACCATTTTCCTGATTGTTAATGTTGTCACTTGCCCCTGTTTTTTAATGAACTGTTTTAATGGGTCTTACTGCCTAAAATTGTTTTTAGTCATTTGTTGTTGCTATTTTTGTATTGCTTTAAATCACTCTGAAATTTTAAAAAAAACAGCATACAATCCTGAGGAGGAGGAGACTCTTAGCACTGCAGAGCTAGAAGGGACCCTCTAAATCATGGAGTTCAGTCTCTGTCAAGGAGGCATAAGTAGGGAATCAAACTCTCAACCCTCTGACTCTGCAGTAAGATGACTTAAACCACCAAGCTATCCAGCAGTTAAGGAGGAAGAGGAAAAGGAGATCCCTCAGTTATCTTGATCTTATAAAGCTCCTCCTTTGGATGCTCCTACTGTAAGCGAGTATAAAACTAACAATCAAGTTCAGGGGGCTTTGGGAAGGGAACCCAGCATGTTCAGTCTATGAGATTTTCTCGTTTTTCCAAAGCAATTCTGCACTTTTCTCAAAACGCACCCATTTCTATCAGCTATTCTCCCCCAGGAAATGTGTGCGCCCCTTGCTGTGATATACCCTTGGTTGTGTACATATCCGTGTACTACCAGAACATATTGATATGTTACTTTATGGATGAACGTTGACTCTAAAGGCTGGGGAAAGGCGTTGTCTAGACGTTGCCTAGAGGGGCGGGGTAAAAATTGAATGAATGAATGAATGAATGAATGAATGAATGAATGAATGAAATATACATGCATGCTTCTCTCCGTTGGGGTTTGAACCCAACCCATGTCTCATCTAGTCCTAACTTGGAACTCCCATTTATGGAATACAATCTTTAAAGAATATGAAAGAGAGCCACGCACTTCCCTTGTTTGCTTGGGAAATGGACACCCCTATCAGTTTTTTTTTCTCTAGAAAACTGTATTCCAGGCTCGGCTGTCCTCACCTTGGTAATGATGTTGCCTCCACATGAAAATGCTGCTCCAGTGGGATAAGTCGTCCGACACAATCGGCAGCCTGTTCCTCCAAGTCTTAACCACTGTTTTCATGTCATGCAGGCTGTTATTCCTCCCGAGACTGGCCGGCTGCAAGCCTGCGTTTATTTGGGCCGCTACCAGTTTTTTTCTCTAGGAAACTGTATTCCAGGCTCGGCTGTCCTCACCTTGGTAATGATGTTGCCTCCACATGAAAATGCTGCTCCAGTGGGATAAGTCGTCCGACACAATCGGCAGCCTGTTCCTCCAAGTCTTAACCACTGTTTTCATGTCATGCAGGCTGTTATTCCTCCCGAGACTGGCCGGCTGCAAGCCTGCGTTTATTTGGGCCGCTTCTTGAAGCTCAATGATCTGCTGTGCCGCCTAGGAGGAGGATTGAAGGTTGATATGAAATTGGAGCACATTCATCCTTCTTTGCCCACTGGAGGAAAGTCGCTCTTAAAACAAGTACTGTTCCAACAGCAGGACAAGCCAACTGGGTTCTTTCGCCCAGTGAAGGACGCTGCAGTCAAAGTCAAAATAAAGTTAGCTTTTCTGCTAGCAATGACGTAACACACTACGTCGTCCACCCTCTTCTAAATTCCCAAATAAGGACAACCGTTCTGTTCAGAAACAGTTTGTGAGCAGCAGGGTGGAGCTAGACCTACTTGGGTTTCAAAGCCTTCCAGTTCAGGCCTTCACACCAGGTGAGCTACATTTAGGTACAGTGGTGCCCCGCAAGACGATGTTAATCCGTTCCATTGAAATAGCTGTTTAGCGAAAACATCGTCTTGCGAAAAGCGTTTCCCCATTGGAATGCATTGAAATCCGTTTAATGCGTTCCAATGGGAAAAATAGTCGTCGTTCTGCGAAGATCGCCCATAGGGAAGCCATTTTGTGAAGTGCCAATCAGCTGTTTAAATCGCTGTCTTGCGAAGCATCGGTCCCGAAAACACCCATTTTGCGAAGATCACCCCTAGGGAAGCCATTTTGCAAAGCCACCGATCAGCTGTTTAAATCGTCATCTTGCAAATCATTGATCCCCTGAAAAAAAAGTCTTGCAAAGCACAGACCGAAACATCACCCAGCGAAAATCGGCCATAGGAAACACTGTTTTGCGAAGCGCAATGGCGATCGCAAAAACTCGTCACCATGCGGATTTGTCATTTTGCGGGGTAATCGTCTAGCGGGGCACCACTGTATCTGTAAGGTGTCCAGGAGGCAGTGGAAGACAGGAGGGCCTGGCGTACTCTGGTCCATAGGGTCACAAAGAGTCGGACACGACTTAACGACTAAACAACAACAAGGGGTCCATCTGTGAGGGAGAGCACCCAGAATGGAGGATGATGGATCTGTAGTCCTCCCCAAAATTCCTATCACTATTATGGGATAAACGTCTCAGACTATACAAAGGCTGTCCTACCTAGAGCATACCATTCTGCTGAACACACAGTTTAGCTAACTGATGAGTAGGCAAGTCAGTGCCCTACACTATTTTCAAACTACATCTCCCATCAGCCTGCCCCCTGGTGAGAGATTGTTGGAGTTGCAACTCAACCGCATAAGATGGACGCTGTGCCATGAACGTATCAGCACACTGGCAAGGAGCTTGATAGCTGTAACACAGTCACATTAAGATAATTAGCTGGTTAACCAGAAGACAATATACCGTATTTTTTGCTCCATAAGACGCACTTTTTTCCCTCCAAAATGTGGGGAGGAATGTCCGTACGTCTTATGGACCGAAGGCAGCAATTTCGTCGCCACTGGCCCCATGGGGGGGAGCGTCACAAGGTGAGCCTTCCAGGACCCTTGCGAGGCTGCCCCACCCACCCCCACAGGGCCAATGCCGGCGAAATCGCCAGCTTCCAGGTGGGGGAAACGTCGCAAGGGTCCTCAAAGCTCACTCAGACCCTTGCAACACTCCTCCCACCCCCGCACAGGCCAGCACCGGCAAAATCACCAGTTTCTGGGAGTGTTTTGAGGCTTCCCAAGCCTCAAAACACTCCCAGAAGCTGGTGGTTTTACCCCACCTCGCCCCGTCGGGGGGT